GTCTGCCCCAAGCTAAGCCGTCAGCTAGCAAGCCCCGACATGTGACGTCGTTGCCCCGCCTTCCTCCTCGCAATGTGCCTGCTCCTCAGATGACCAAAAAAGATGAGGCTGCCAAGCTCGATGCACCACTCAAGTCGCCACAGGCTCATCAAGACGAGAAAAAAATTCACAAGATCACCGCTGCTGCTGGAAAACCAAAGCAGTACAAGAAATGGGTGGCGCCTCACCCATGGCGTTCTTGAAATCATCAAGAGCGAACCTTCAGGATCCCTGTCCCGACCTTCCTGCCGAGGGGTCTTCATCGAGGAGCTGCCATTTCTCCCTGTTCCTTCCCTTTTCCGCAGTGTCGCGCTAGACTCCTTTGATCCCCTTCGAACTTACTTGTAGTGTCAAGTGATGCTTGCACACTGGCACAAGCAAAGGTTGCTAAAACGATGCCTCTTCTTCTACTAAACCTTATTTTACACTTGAGATACCGTGGCAGACCATCTTCAGCTTCCTCACTTCTCTCTCCACACACCATACAGACAATGACTTCCCTGCTCTTTTCAGCATTAGCTTTGCTTTGTTTTGGATGTAGCTATCATGGCGGGCTTCTTCAGATTGCCATCCTGCGCATGTTTCACAGACTCAATGTTGCTATCAAGGAGCTCAAGAGGAAGCTGCAAGAGATATCAGCTCATGAACTTGCCTCAAAGATCAAGACTGACTTGCAAGCAAGGTCAAACATCTTCACAAGGACAAGCCCAAGCAGCAAAAGGCAATGGCCCAGCTGATTGGCAAGAGCAAGGCCAGACATTCTTGTAGCTACCCAGGAATGACCATGGGGACAGTTGGCAGAGCGCTGGAGGCTCTTTTGGTGTCACAATCCTGAAGCTACAGGCACATTGAGGCCTTGTAGACTATGCTCTGCGGCGCAATTTGAACCAGACATTGTTGTGCTTAGCTGTGGCAATACTTCCAAGCTCTGGTGTGCTGTGAAGTCCACCTCTGGCTTCAACAATACTGTGCAGCAAAGCAGCAGGCCACAAGGTGAGCTAGAGAATTCCACCTCATTGTGAGCGTGCTCAAGGGTCACCCTGCAACCCAGAACATTTAGCAGTCCTTGGTTTGACAAGGTAGCGCTCTATTTTCTGCACCAGCACTGCATGGTCCTGCTTTCCAGTCTGCACTCATATGCCAACAAGCTCAAGTATGAGCATCACGTTTGGTGACCACACACTGACGCCGCATGGTCCAACTCTCTTCAACCCTTCCAACTACGCGCAATTTTTCTTTGAGCCCGACACCATGGCTACTAGCGCAATTTCACTCCCGCAAAAAACCTTGACAGCTTTGAGGAAAGAGGTAAAGGGGATCAACACCCGCATCTCTTCTTTCGCCCGAAGTTATGCTCAGGGCAACTTGCAGCGCATGGAGAACGAGATCTCCTTGACAAAGAGCCTCTTGACCACCTCGACGCAGGAGCGCGACGCTTGGAAGCGCAAAGCAGAGGACTGGAAGAGCAAGTGCTTGGTCTCGGAGTCTCTTCACAAAGGAATGCAGGTTCAGGCTCGCGGCCTTTGAGACGACATGGATGAAGCTTGTCGCGCACACGCAGCAAGCAGCAGAGAAGTCCAAGAGCTGCGAGGACAATGCCACCTTTCCCAAAGTCAGGTGGAGACCATCAGGGCCAATCTCAACAGAGAGCAAGGTCTCAGGTCCAACGCCGACCGTAAGAAGGCAGAAATCTCGAAAGAGCAAGAGACTCCAGCGCGCTGGAAGCTAGGGTGAAGACCTTGGAGAAGACCGTACGCGACTCCAGCGCACTTGAAGTTAGGGTGAAGACCTTGGAGAAGGCCGTACGCGCCTCCAGCGCACTTGAAGCTAGGGTACAGAGCTTGGAGAAGGCCGTACGCGCCTCCAGCGAAGCTAGGGTACAGAGCTTGGAGAAGGCCGTACGCGCCTCCAGCGCGCTTGAAGCTAGGGTACAGAGCTTGGGGAGCTCTTTACGCGAGCAGAACACTCTCAGTGAAGACCTTGAGGCAGAAGTCCAAGAACTTCCAGACGCTTGGAAGCGCAAAGCAGAGGACTGGAAGAGCAAGTGCTTGGTCTCAGAGTCTCTTCACAAAGGAATGCAGGTTCAGGCTCGCGGCCTTCGAGACAACATGGATGAAGCTTGTCGCGCACACGCAGCAAGCAGCGGAGAAGTCCAAGAGCTGCGAGGACAATGCCACCTTTCCCAAAGTCAGGTGGAGACCATCAGGGCCGATCTCAACAGAGAGCAAGGTCTTAGGTCAGACGCCGACCGTAAGAATGCAGAAATCTCAAAAGAGCAAGAGACACAGGCCAGAAACTTTGCTCTCTTGGCACGTGAGCTCAAGAGCACAAGGAACAAGCTGAAGGTCGTGAACGCAATCAACTTTGGTATGTACACTGTACTCACTGTCGGGCTGGCTTTTGCGGCCATGCATTGGCGACTGCAAATGCTCCAACTTCTCTTTGCTTTGCTCACTTGAGGCTACTCAGCTGTGATAACGCCAGGGTTCTTGGGACAGTTGATGGTGAGTGGGACTCATATGCTTGCTGTCTTGATTGAGGTGACCCTAATCCTTGCATTCATCTGCTAGTTCTGTGCCATGCTCAGGGCAAGATACAAAACTTGAAAAGGATCTTGAGGTTCAAGAGCCAAATGACGTCTGTAGTCCAAGAGCGCTACAATAGCAAGAGCAAAGCAGAGTCTTTGATGGTCAGCACTCCCTGCAGCAAGCTTCAGACCCTCAGACTGAAGGACTTTGGCAACATAAGTCTGTCAATCATGTGCGGCACGCATGAGAGAGAACAAAGGACTCTGAGCACACCTTCAGCCTTCTCAAGGCCAGGCCAGCACAATCAGAAATGAGCTCAGCAAGGAGAGGAGGAGCACAACGAAAAAGCGCAAGCAACTGCCAGCTTTCAAGCAGCAGGGTGAAGCTACAATCACTTGCACTGATCTTCTCTTTCTGCATCGCGCCAAGGGCAAGGTGCAACATGTGCAAGAGGAGGTTCAAGAACCCAAAAGACGGTGTAGAAGAAAGAGGAGGATGAGATGGGTCTTCAAAAGGGTGACTCGAGCTTCCTGCTTGTCAGATTAAGCAGCAGAGCGCCTCCCATTCACGACCAGGCTGCAATCTCCTGTCCAAGCTGGGGTCTACTCATGAGATGTCCCTCTCAGCTCAGCATCTAGCCACCTGGCACACCTTGCCTTGAACACTCCGTATGGCCAATCTTTTCCGCCACCAACCTCGGTGTTGATCCACTTGACTTGACGACCTAGCGTCGTCTAAGACCCGCAGCCTTCTGCAACTCGAGCTTGTGCTCGGTCTGCTCTGCATGGATCCTAAGTTCAAGCTAGCGCGCAAGCTATGTGTTGTGTTCTTCGAACACCTTCACTGAACACTCTTCAGCTGCACCTTGAATTTCGCACCGCTGGAGCCCTTTCACCAAGGTTAGGACTCTGTGATTTGCTTGCGGTGAAACAGATCCGATCGTAAGTTTCTCGCTCACACATTGCCACGAGAGGCAAAGGGGTAGGGCTCCAAATTCACCATCGCAGCTGTCTGATACTAATTGCTTCTCGCAGCACGAATCTCCTTGACCCTCTTCGTTTCAGCTGCAGGCTCAGCGTGGATTCCGTCAATCTCTTTTTTTTCTCGCAGCAGTCTTCGCGCGCTCCTCTCTCATCATTCGCGCACGGATTCCCACGCCCTTCTTTCGGAGAAGACTATAGACCGGCCAAAAGACAAACTATCCAAGCCGTTCCTTCAGATGGCCTGTCTCCGAGAGGATGGCAGCACAACAAGGAGCACCAGAGAGCTGACGCACGGATAAGTGACAATGCCGAATGCTAGAATGGCAAGCGCAAGGCAGTCTTGATGATCCGGAAAATCCAACGCACCTGCACAAGGTGTCCCTTTCGAATGGTGTTAATCACGAGCATCAAGCAGCGTGGTAGTCGCGAGCGAGAATCGCAGTTGATTCTTTACAGAACAGCATGCCATTCGCTCTATTCTGCAATCGTATCAGTGGTCGCAAAAACGTTGCGGAAAGAGCAAAAGCGCAGCACGCTGGTCCAAGTCGGATGCGTGTTTGTTTCCGTACCGTCGTGATCTCGATGATGGCAAATTGTGAAAAGTAGGTGTCGAGGTCCACCGTCGTGATTCGTAGAGAAATTTTGAGAGAAGAAATGCACCTGTGAGAGAAGAGGCAGGGTGTCGCGCTCGGCGAGTGGTTGGAGGGAAAAATTGGACGAGACTTAAAGGCCTCGTCTGCGGCCTGCGGATAGTGCGAGCGGTTTCGGTTGGATGGTAGAGAGGTCGAGGTGCTTTCACTTCGAAGCGTGTGCTCCTTCGTCATCGAATGAGCGCCAAGGCGACTCGTTCACTCGAGGCTGCTCGAATAGTCGGAATCGGGTCCCGCAAAGTCGTCCTCGTTTGCCGTCACTGAAATGGCCCCGGAAGAGTTGGGCGAGCCATGCAGAATGCGCAGTCCACTGTTGGTCCACTTGAACCAGCTGTGCGAGCGCGGACCGGCAGTGTATGTGTTGCCCTCGTGCGAGCGCATTGAGCTGCTGTCGCCAGCGTCGTCACTTAACTGCATAATGCGAGAGAGAGCCGATGGTCGTTGACGTTGAGGCTGCGGAGCATTGCTCGCCGGCAGCACGCGAGCAAGAGGTGCAGATCGCTGCTGCGGCAAATGTTTGCGGGAAGGCAAGGTAGTGGTGCGCGCGCCACTGGAAACCAACTGAGCCCTGGTAGAAGTCTGCTCGAGCCGCTGCACTTTGGCCTTCAGCTCCGCGATCGCTGCATCATCACGCTGCTTGATCGCGGCCAGCTGAGCAATGTGCTCTGCAAGCTCGGCCTTGTCCTCCTCGGCGTCTTGACGCTCCCGCTCGAGAGTCTCTACAGCTTCAAAGTCTCTCGCAAGTCCAGCTGCATTCTCCTCTCTGAGCCTCCAGACTTCCTTCTTCAGGCTGTCCATTGCTTCGTTACTGCTGGCCAGCTTCTCCTCCAGCTCGACGTTGTCCGCCAAGGCTTTTCCCTTCTCTTCCTCCAGCTCATCGACCTTGATGGTTAGATCCATTAGCTGCCCTACGTGCAGGTCCGCCTCCCTGTCCACCTGATCGTACTGGACCCTAAGCTCGCGATTTTTTGCGATGAGTCCTTCATTCTCCGACGGAGGACCCGTCACGAAGAGAAGACGCGCTGCCCACGCAGCACGCACGCCTCTTCGCACCGCGGCTCGTGCGCGCTCGCTCGTGCCGCCGGCAAAATCCCGCCCGCGCACCGCGCACCCGCCTATAGCTGATGCATGGAAGCCGCGCGCGCGCGGAGATTTCCAAACTAGCTAGTCCGCGATGACCGCGGGACAATTTGATGCGCGGGTCTATCGCGCAGGGTCTTGGCAGGCACATGAGCCACCACACGCACACGCACACGCACACGCACACGCACACGCACACCTCCACCCCGAACCAACACTCACAGACTCCGCGCGCGCGCGTTCGCACATACGTGACTCGCAAGTCGCGTCGTGCGCGATTTGTAAAGCGTATCGAGACGCTTGCCGACAACAGCTTGGCTGGCCATCTCATGAATCAGCTAAGCCTCTAGCAGAACCGCCCTTTGGCATTTGCAGTCCTCGACTCGAGACTTTCAGCGTGAAGCCTGAGCATTGGACGTCGGACGCGATGATGAATTGCGTTAAACACGAATCGTTGTACAATGAAAATGGAAGACCGATCGGCGAAGTTCAAATACTGATGTCAACCATCTTACTGCAGACGACCCGCGGTGCGCTCAGCCAGAGTCCCTTGCGACGCGGGTCGAGGAATTGGAACGAGTCCAGCGCCTCGGAGCTGCTCCTCCAGCGCTGTGACGTGCTCCTCCGCTTGCTGCCTACCGATTTCCTCCCGATTCACGTCGCGCATAAGACGCCTGACAAGTTCCGGCCAAAAATTGGACTCAGACGACAAAGATTCCGTCATCGAGTCTTCGGAATCGGATGACAGCGCTTCCGATTCCTCATAAGCTGGCGGGCTTTGGTCCAGCACATTGTCGGCGAATTGCTGATTCGTACCGACCTCCGCGTCCTCAAAGCTCAGCTCGCTGTCGTCGTCGGTGGTAGACCAATCGACATCCTGAGAAAGGTCGTCGCACGCGTCGTGGAACTACAGTACAGCACGGTGTGGAGCCCTGTCAGCAAGACCTTCTCATAAAGAACAGACTCCTCGACTCAACAAACGGTAGACTCACCTCGATGTTCATACTCTCGCGCTCTTTCGCCGCCTGCTCGACATCCACTTGGCCCGAGACCCCCTCCTCCTGCAAAGCCGCGCTCCCTTCCCCATCTGCCTTTGCGACATCCGCACACACAACGCGCATCTCGGCCGCAGTAGCGCCTTCCGCGATGCTGCTCTGTTGTGAGCTGGAGTTCATAGCGAAGGCTGAGCAAGATCAAAGTGGAGCGAGAGGAAGGGCATGGCAGCGTGAGTGAAGCTCCAGAGCCGCGAACAGAAATACCCTGGGTATGTTCTGCCTCGAAGTTGCCACACAAAGGCTTTGCAACAGCCACTAGCTCGTATAGCTAGAACGTGCCATAGAGACGCCACATGGCTACTTGGTGTCCCATCAAGTCTCTATCTTGGCCTCGAGCATCACACTCACCCACGCAGGTCTCCGATGTTGCGCCTGTAAATCAAGATCCCGCCAGTTCGCTGGTCCACGTCTGTATGCGCTGCCTCTTGGCTGCTGCTGCGCTTTGAATCGATGACCAGCTTGAGCGGCAAGCTGGGGTAATTGCCGTGCGCACGAGCTGAGTCCTTGCGATCTGTCGGATCCGTTCGCGAGGGCCGGTCGATACGCTTACGGGGCTGAGCTCGTCTTTGGAAGAGTAGCGTATGAGAGAGCGATGATGATGGTATTGAGTCAAGTGATGCTCTACTAGCGCGGTAGCGTACATGCATGCGCGCGCCGCTATGAGAGAGCGATGATGATGGTATTGAGTCAAGTGATGCTCTACTAGCGCGGTAGCGTACATGCATGCGTGCGCCGCGGCGCGCGCGTCACACTCCCCCGCAAATGGCGAACGGAGGAGGCATTCGGACAACGAGAGGGGTAGGAACAATGGTCTCGCAATTAGGGAAAAGTGTCTAAGGAGGATGTACCTATCGGGAATGTGATTACGGAGAACGATCAACGATCCCAATGCGGGGCATGTGCTGGTCCAGAGTGGAGCGTGCGAGGGCTTTGGTGAACACGTCGGCAAGCTGCTCTTTGGTGCGGATAGCTACCACAGAGCACTCTTTGCGAGTCACGCTCTCGCGCACTACGTGTTCGTCAATCCTTACGTGGCAATTGCGGTAGCTGCTCTTGCCGTTCTTTGCATTGGAGACCGCTCCTTCATTGTCGCAGAAGAGGGGTGTGGGCGAGGCTACAAGATACGCAAGGCCGATGTCGCTAAGTAGCTCGCGTAGGTGCACGGCTGTGGACGCAGCCGCAGAGAGTTTGATGTATTCTGCCTCGACTGTGGAGCGCGATACGCGTTTTTGCCGTTGTGATACCCAAGAGATAGTGTGGCCTCCGAGCTGCGCAAGGTGTCCGGACGTGCTTTGCGAGGTGTCCGTGTCGCCAGCAAAGTCAGCATCACAGTAGAGCTGGAGCGCCGGGGTGGTGCCGGGGCGCGCGGCGTACCAGAGGCCTCTGTTTGCGGTATCGCGGACGTACTCAAGGATGCCAAGCAAGGCTTGCCAATGATCGGGGCCAGGGTTCGAAGAGTATCTGCTGAGAACTCCCACTGCGTAGGCAATGTCGAGGCGGGACCCGATCATAACCCACATTAGCGAGCCAAGCACCTGAAGATACGGCTCTTTCACTGGCTCTCCGTCGTGTTGGGAGAACGTTACGTGCGCAGGGAGAGGTGTCCCCAAGTGGGTGCCCTTGTACTGCTGAAAACGTTTGGAAATATCGCGTATGTATGCCTGTTGCGAGATAAGGAGGCCCTGTGGCGACCGGGTGAACTGCATGCCGAGGCAGTGAGATGCTTGCCCGATGTCCTTGATCTTGAAGAAGCGTCCCAAGTCTGCTTTGACGGCAGCTATGGCGGCTGCAGAGGAGCCGGTGATAAGAGCATCGTCTACATGGATTGCAAGATATGCGTGTGCACCATCCTGCTTGCGAAAACGAAGACGCATTGATCGATGACCGAACGACGGAAGTGGATGGTTTCAAGTGCGTCACTGAGGCACTGGAACCAGTCCAGGGCCGATGTACGCAAACCATACAGTGCTTTGTCGATGCGCAGTACGCTGCCAGGAGCCAGATCCATGCCTAGTGGTGGGTGCATGTAGACCGCCTGTCCACTGCGTGCGGCATTCAGGTAAGCGGTGTTGAAGTCGGTTTGGTGGAGCTCCCACCCAAAATGGACAGCCAGTGAGGACAACAGGCGAAAGCTTTTCATGCTGGCTACCGGTGCATAAGTCTCGGCGCTGTCAGCAGATTGTTGATCTCCCCGTGCGACCACCCTTGCTTTGTGGCGCTCCACTTCACCCTGTGCGTTGCGCTTTGTCTTGAAAACCCACTGCGAGTGGATAACCTGTGCCCCGTCTGGGCGAGGTACCGGAGTCCACGTGGCCGCCTTAGTCTGTGCCTGGAGTTCAGCGTCCATGGCAGCTTTCCAGAGAGCGGACGAGGGTGAGGACATGGCCTGACGGTAATTGTTGGGGTCGGTTTCCACTGCGAAGTGTGTGGCGAGGCCATACACCAGCGAGCCGTGGTCGATGCCGCCAAGATCAACAGCAGCGCAGCTGACAAGGTGATCGGGATCGTTTCCTCGTGGTTGGAAAGTAGGTACCATCCCGTCTGCAGGGCGTGGTGGCGGTGCCCGTCGCGTCGAGCGGCGAGGTGTGCCAGTTCCTGAGGCCGTAGCGGGCTCTGCGCCAGTGGGTTCGTCGACCGGAGAGCTCGCGGGGCTTGTCGTGGCAGGCGTAGGTAGCCCGACTGGCGCTTCAAAACGGAGGGGAGGGGCGGTGCCGTCATCTGGTGGGGGTCCGCTGTCCTCGTCACTGGGGTCCATGTCGTCCTCGGCGGTGGCCTGAAGGAGGGGGAACACATGCTCGACAAAAGCAACGTCCGTGGCTGTGGAGACAGAACGGGTGTCAGGGTCGTACACGTGGTATCCCTTTGTGGTGGGATTATACCCACAGAAGATGCGTGGGTCTGCTTTGGCCGCAAGCTTTGTGGTTCCAATGCGTTCCGTAGAGGGACGGTGGACCCAGACGCGGCAGCCGAAGGTGCGCAGGAGGCTAAGGTCGGCAGTGTCACGTCCGCCAAAAACTAGATTCGGGATTTGGTGCTTGACTGCAGAGTGCGGCGTCTTGTTCTTGACAAAGACCACCGTCAAGAGGGCGTATTCCCACATGCGGACGGGGAAGTTGCTGCCGCGTAGGATGCTGCGCATTGCTTCCAGCAAGGTGCGGTTGACCCGCTCAGCCACTCCATTCTGTTCAGGCGTGTGCGCCACCGTGGTCTGGTGTGTGATCCCAGAAGAGCCAAGGAAGTCCTGCGTGCGGCGTGCAAGGTACTCTCCCCCGCGATCCGAGCGTAGGGTGGAGATGCGGTGGTTGCAGTCCCGTTCAGCATGGTTGACAAAATGCACCAGGCACTCGTGTGTCAGATCCTTGGTCTTGATCGGATATGCCCAGACCTTCCTGCTGAAGTCGTCCACAAAGGTGCAGACGTAGCTGTTTCCGCGAGTGGAGGTCGTACCGATGTAGAGCAGATCGGAGTGGACTAGCTGCAGTGGTTGAGTGGATGCAATGTCCTTGCGGCAAGCATATGTGCGGCGATGCGCCTTGGAAGCTAGGCAGTGGTCGCAGGCCTCTTTGGTGGTGTCGGTGATTGTCAGTGACCCGCTGCGTTCAAGGATCTTGATGTCTGCGGCATTAAGGTGACAGAGTCGCCCGTGCCAGGTCGTCAGGGACTGGGCTTGATGTTTGCTTACTCTTCCTGCCAGTGCTATAGGAGCCGATCCTGGGGTGAGCGCGGATGGGAGGAGGCGTACGCGGTATAACCCCTCGGGTGTGCGATCTGCGTGGCCGTAGATCACCCTCGTTTTGCGATCTATGATCTGGGCGCCGGAGGACAAGAAGGTGACATCCATTCCGTGGCTCACGAGCACCTGAACAGACATGAGGCTGATTTGCATACTGGCGCATACAGCACGTTGCGGAGTCGGACACCCACTCCACCATGGTTGTTGTCCATGACGATGGTGGCGGATCCTCGATGGGTGACAGGAGCAGTCGAGTTAATGCCCTGAATGGTGGATGCAAACGGCTTGGCTGAGGTCAAGTTGTGATGGCCCCCAGTCATGTGTTGCGTGGCTCCAGAGTCAAGGTACCAGTCGGTTGTACTGCCCATGGCAGAGAGTCCGATGTGTGTGGCGGGCAAGTGGGTGGCGGCCCATCCCAGCAGGACGTCTGTGCCTTGAGAGCTATCTCCTACGCTTGTCTCCCCCGGAGCCTCGACTGGAAGGGGTCGGCCTGCCAGTCCCATAGGCTGATGGGAGGTGGATGCGAGATGCGCAGACGGCTTCTTCTTGGATCTGTTCTTGTAGGCGTCAAGTGCCGCCTGAGTGGCAGTGCATTGCGCATTCCAGTGATTGCCACCGCACTTGCGACAGGGTGCAGGTGGTGGTCCGTCGCGTAGCGCAGGAATTGGGGTGCGTGATGGATGCCCGGAGGGCGCAGAGGCTGCAAGTGCGGTGTGGCGGTCTCGAGCGGAGAGCCACTCATCATGTATGCGGGTGAACACTTCCTCCAGGGTAGGGACGGGCTGCTTCTCAAGCAGCTTTTCTCGGATGCGGTCATAGTCCGTGTTGAGAGAGTCAAGGAAGCGGATGACCAGCCACCAATTGTCTTGTGTTATGGCAAGATCTCGCATGGATGCAACGAGGTTCTTGTAGTCCCGGATGTGGACGTTGATGTCGCTGTCAGTCTGAGTGAAGCGAAACCAGTGTTGAGCAGTGCGGACTTTTCCGTCGCTGGTCGGCGGTGTGAAGTAGGCAGAGATGGCCTCCCACATTTCGTGGACATCAGACTCGTGGCCGTCAAGGATGTCCAGGTATTTTGGGTCCATGGCGCGAGAAAGCAGGCCGCAAGCTGCCCGATTCAGTTCGCGATGGTTCTCAGGCAGTGCCTCGCCAATTGGCTCAATGAGTTGTAAGGCGTCCATCTGTCGCAACATGGCGCGCACTTGACGCTTCCATTGGGGATAGCGTTTGACTGAGTCAAGGCGGTCGGCCTTGTCGAAGTGTGGATGCGTCACCGCTGGCGGGGCCACGGCGGTGGATGGAATTGCTGACTTGCGGGAGGCGGCAGCTCTGGGCGTCGAGGCTTCCCCAGCCGCGCTGTCAGCAGCCATGGTGGCTAGGTATGTTAGTGAGGTGTGTAGTGTCACAAGAGGCGTGTTGGGGGTGCCTGTGGCGCCCGCAACAGGGTGATAAGGTATGGGCTCATAACCTATGAGAGAGCGATGATGATGGTATTGAGTCAAGTGATGCTCTACTAGCGCAGTAGCGTACATGCATGCGTGCGCCGCGGCGCGCGCGTCACATAGCGAGCGGTCGTCTTCGATGATACACGAGTATTGAGTGGTCGCAAGTAATCTTGCGAGGCTGAGACTTTGGGTGGTCTATGAGCGTGTATGCGAGTGAAGCGCAGAGGTTGTGATGGTGAGTCGCTGGCGACAAAGCGCGGCGGGGCGTGTACGAAGCGCACCATGCAGGGCCTGAGCACAGACCATCCGCGTCGTACTGCCCAACTACCTTTCGCGCCCAGCCATGCCTCGAGCCTGCTCGCCTCGCGCGTCCACGTGGCTGATGCGCGCGGATGGACAATGCACCCACCTGTGCCTCTGCCTCTTCAGCCGCTTGGGCTTCAGCGAGCGACTCCGATGCCCCATTCTGTTTCGCACCGCATTCATTTGTTCTTCTGTTACAGCCTGATCAATGAGCACTTGACGGCTGCTGATGCGCACTGGCGTTCGAGCCTCGACTGTCCGAGGCGAATTGCATGGATTGAAAGCTTCGCAGTCTGATCTCTGTTCCGCGTGTGAGTGTTTCGCAGAGGAAAGTGTGAGAAAGCATGGGAGAGGAGGGGCGAGAAGGGGGCCGCGGCAAAGGTCGATATAGCGGGGAGGTGGGAGATGGGAAAAAGAATCGCACCAGGCGCTCAGAGCCTCTTTGTGATGAACGAGGACAAAGAATTTGGGCAAGCGGAGCTACCCGGACGGGAGCGCTGACAGCGAGGGCAGCGTACAGCGACGCAAATTGACATATACCGCTTCGGCCGCAGCGAGACTGGCTTGGCGCCTCTGTTCGCCGAAGAAGCCCGATTTGTTGAAGCGTAGCAATTTTCGGTGAATATCGTCCACCTTCCTAGCCAGCACTCTTCTTGGGCACGCGAATCTCTTCATTCTCGAATCTTGGATGCTACTCGCCATGAAGCGCGAACTTCTCAGCGGATCGCGCAGATGCGATGATTCTTGTTGTTGCTTCTCTTGTTCGATGTGCTACGTCAACCGCATTCTATCCCAAAGCCTCACTCGGGCATCAAGCACATTGCCGCCAATACGCCAGAGCTCATCCTCGCTGTCGGAATCGACTGCGTGAGGAGAATCGACCAGCTCTTCCATCGCCTGGACACAGGGGTCAGCGAGCTGATCGAAGCGCTCCTCAAGATGGTTTTCCCATTCGGCTCTTCGCTCTGTGTTCACTTGCATGTGATGAAGGACCGATTCTTCATCTTCAACAGCGGTCGAAAGAAGGAAGGATCGCACTCTTTCGTCGCGGATCCTTGCATCGCCAGCGATTGACCCTTGTTTCTCTTGTACTCCGTGAAAGATTTCGCGCGACCAACGCTCGAAGCGGTTGCATCGGCTGATTCTGGTCCATGGCCCTTCATATTCCTGAATGAAGGCGCGATCTTTGTCGCTCAGATGGACCAGATTCAGTTGATTCCAAAGAGGCGCATATCCATCGTCGGAATCTCCATCCTCGTCTGCGTCGCTGGAACCTACAGCCTCGTCTGCGTGACCGACAAAAAGCAACAGACGTCGGAGATGAGCCTTGATTTTGATGATCGTGACGACGATTGGTGCGATGCCCTCAACTGCTGCTGCGAACTCCGACTCCGTAACCTCTCCCAACAAAAAGCCTTCAATGAGGGAAAGCTGGCCAGGTGTCTGGACAAGGGGGCGCGAGACTCATATTCTGCCACCTTGATTTTGTCGGTCAAGTTTGCCACACGGGCCTCGAGACTATGATGGCATTGATCAATGCAGTGTGAGCTTGCCCACCATTCAGCGACTCAGATACAACCCTTTTCAAATCTTTTTGTGGTGCTCACCTTTCGCCTGTAGAAGAAGTAGCCATGATCAGCGCGAAGAGCCTCGCTCCACGTTGTTTGCTTGGACACGTAAGAGATCCTTGGCCTGAGTAAAGTTCGCGTTGTTCGCTCGTATGTACGCTGCGCGAAGTGAGCGCAACTGGACACCACGTTGTTTGCTCGTGTGTATGCTGTGCGAGGTGAGAGCAACTGAATGCCGCGTTGTCTGCTCGTATGTATGCCGTGCGAAGTCAGAGCAGTCGAGTGAATGCCACGTTGTCTGCTCGTTTATATGCGGAGAAGTAAGAGCAACTGAATGAATGATCACGATGTCCACGCACGCTATGTAAAAGCTGAAAGTGCGGCGCAAACAGGCGAGGTTTCGATGCTGGTGGTTCAAGACCAGGAGCAGAAGGAGCCTTGAGAAAAGCTCCAAGACTTTGCGCTCGCACGGTGTGTGAGAATAAGGTGCGTGTGTGATTTGCAAGCTTGAGTTGGAATCGCTGTGTTGATCGAGCCACGAAAGGGAGGCCACCACACTGATCTACTGCCGCCGGCATGCACGGACGCGCGCTCATGGTTACGATGCGTGCGAACAGGCCGGCCTGGCATGCAGATGATGCGGCGCATACGCGCGGCGGGCACGAAGCTCAGTCGATCCACCTGCACGCTGCGCCGAACACTCCAGCAGCAGCGCACGAGCAGAGGCACGGAAGCGTTGGTAATTCATGCATGCCCTCTCGGATCTGTTTCATCTGACACGACCTGCTATTCACCCGAGACATTCAAAAAAGTTTGTTGATCCTGCCTGCGCGACTTGCTCGAACCCCTTGCCATGCTTGTTCTGCAATTACTTTGATCATCAGTGAGGGGTGAAACGCCACCGCGGCGGTACCGCCTCCCTCTCTCGGCGTGCGTTCAAACATGTTTCTGACGATACTCACTCTCGGATGCAGAAACATTGCGTGCGAAAGGCGACATAGCAGATGAACAAGTAACGAAGCAAGAGTAGACTATTCGGTTGAGAGGAACACTGCGTCGGGTTAAAAGTCGGTCTGGCAAATATGCATGAAGCAGCGCGAGTAGGGAGGTGAGGCTAGCTGTGTGGCAGGATGTTGGGAGTTTTCTAAGCGTAATCTGGACGAGAGGCTTTGTATGCTGTGAGAAGAAAAGGAAAGAGGGGGGAGGGGACAGGTCTTGCTTTGAAGTCCGGCCGCTGATCTCGGCACAGCGAGCGACACGAAATCAAGCGTTTGTGTCGAGGGTTGAGAGCCGCGCGTCGCGTGTTGTAAGCGGTGAGGCTCAATCCTGCCGAGATTGAATGAAGATCCCGTGATTAGCAACAAAGTTCGGATCTGCAGAATTTCAATATATCGCAAAAGGTAAGTAGCCGCGAGCGTGTCGCTGCTCAGAAATCCACGCTGCTGAGGCGCCTCACTCACGCGGACGTGTCTTGCTCAGTGTTAATCTTGAATGCTGTCGGATCCCGTCTGGGCGAATTTGGCCTTGAGAATCTCAAGACGTGCGCGTCTACATGAAGAGCAAGGCGAGGTGAAATGGCAGTCAGCACAAGCGAGAGTCAAGCACTTGACCGGTGTGCAGTCACTCACCGATCGTGTCCTTCGTCCGCCTTTGCTCTCGTCTTGTATTGTGGTGGGCCGAGCCGCTTCTCGATGAGCGCCTCGCCGCTGCTTTCTTGCCCGAAGCTCGACTTGCGGCATTTCGGAGCAGCGCGCCAAACATCCAGCTCCTTCGACTTGCCTTCGCTCGTTTGACGCGCGACCCAAAGCGCCGCCCTGGTCTGGTGCAGCTCGGACTGTACAGCCTTGAGCTCGGCAGAGACAGATGCGCAAGAATCTTTCGAGGCGTCGATAGTGGAATGTGAAAGCGCTTCACAACGTTCCCCGAGTAGAACGGGGAGTGGGACGCTGACATCAACAGATGGGCCGGTGTCACTGTCACTCTTTGTCGAGGAATCGAAAGAGGTGTCGGACTGGAGGTAGGCCTCGCGAATGTCTTTGTTGTGCAAGCGCGAACGCCGGACGAGCGATTTGGATGCGGTCATGTGCGCGCGGACGGGAGTAGAGGTGAGAGGAGAAGGCATCTTGACGAGTGATACTTGCAGGGCGTGAAGGAAGGATGGAGTGAGTGTGGTTCGGAAGAGAAAACAGGTCCGCTAGTCAAAAGTGCGGGAAGACTCGATGTCTGTCTCCACGTCGCGCGTCGGGTGGTGCTAGTCGAGTGATAGAAGCTACATTTCACCTGGAAACTTGCTGAAGCCGGTGAACGGCACAGACGCGTGCATCAGCGTCTCAACGGAAAAGCCACGCGCAGCGGCTCGAACAATCCCAGCCTTTCTTGCGACGCTGCTTTTCGCCTGTTGCCCATCGTTGGGCTAGCAATGACTGAATACCTCGGCCATCTCGATACCTGACAGACTGCTGTATACAAGTGCATTTGAAAGGCACTGAAAAGCTCGAAAACCCCGCTCAAGTCGCGCGCAAAGGCCTTCTCGTTGACAGACTGGCATCGCAACGTGCTCTTAGCCTCGCGATACACGGTGTCACAAGAGGTCAGCCAACTTCGCGGGGAACTTTGTGCATTGAGGTTCAGGTGATGTCTGACGGGGTCGTGCGTACGAGTGGCGAAGTCGCGAGGACAGGGATCGGGAAGGGGGAAGGGACCAGGGGAAAAGGGGAGGAAGGCAGGTCGGCAGGGTCACTCGGCGGCTGCAGGTAGCTCTTGCTGGGGGACGGCGCGAGCTTCTTCCAGCGCCTCATTGAGCGCAGCGCTGAAATCTTGGTTCAGCCTCTTAGCAAGACTGACTACCTGCTCGAAATTCTTCGCGCGAGCTTCATCTCTCTCGCGAAGAAGCTCGTTCTGTCTGTGAAGAGCTGCGAGCTCTTCGCGGGCCTGATCGCGACTTCCTTCCGCAGATTTTCGAGCCGCGATTTCTGCGTCCAGTATCCTCTCATACTCTTTCCTTTCCTCGCGTCTCTCCTCCTTCTCTTTTTCGCTCGCAGCCTGTGTCTCTTCCACCTTTCGACTTAGGCCGCGAACTTCTTCTTGCAGTTTCTCTATGTTCTCGTTCGCCACGTCGAGAAACTTCTTGGCATCTTTCTCGGCTTGCGCGTACTTGCTTTCACTGTCACGTGCCTGCTCCTCCAGCGTCTTGACCCTCTCTCCAAGCTTTGCCGCTTGGGCCTCGGCATGATCGCCGCGCGCCGTTTGGGCAGAAACGATCTTGCGGATGTGGTGCATGAAGAGCTCCGAAGCGTGGTCAAGGTTGATGTCGACCGTTGTACTGGCCGAAGCTGGAGCGGGACGCTCTTCATAGCCGCTCGACGATTTCTGAGAGACACTCTGTTGGCAGGGACGAAGTCAATCAAAGATGTTGCTTGGAGGGCTTCCTCAGACATCTTCACTTACGTCGCTTTGGTCTTCGTCCTCCCCGTCATCATCGCACGCTCCTAGCGCTGCTGCTTGAGGCGAGGTGGCATTCTGCAGAGCAAGTTTCTGGCCGTGCGCACCCTTGACCTTGAGCTCTGGACTGAGAGAGGGAGGCCTGATGAAGCTGGGAGGCGGAGAGCTGTTCCCAGAAGCTGTCTATTTGTATCAAAGGCAGGTGAAAGACAGTTGCGATGCGGGTCAGCAAGCCAGCGTGCGTAATGCTTTCAATTTGATAGAATCAGAGCTCCACTCACCTGCTCTGGAGTCGTGGGATTATCGCGCGCGTGATCGGCTGCGTCAAGAACACCTGGCTCTCCAGTCTCTGCCGTACTGCCACCGGCTTTGCTTTGGGAGGTGGAGAAGGCGGGGGCGTGTGCGCGACCCAGTGGCGACCTGTTTGCGGTCAGGGAAGGAGTTCGCGGCGTCTTCGGGCTTCCGATGGCCGAGGTAGACTGAGCGCCACCTCCCGAGCGACGGGGCCCAGTTCCTGCCATACGACGAGCGTTCTGCAGGGACGATGAGATGTCGCAAGCAAGGTGCGCGGAAGTCAGCGATCTGTCTGCGTGGCAGAAGTCTGCGCGTAGTGTCCTGATCCTTCACCAGCCCGCCGTAACAGCACAATAAACTCACGTTGCGAACTTGCTGGTCCAGAGCAGCGGACTCCAAGCTGCCGCCAAAGTCGGCTTTTGCTTTTTGTTGCGCGGTGTCGATAGGTCGCGGCATTTCTGACTGCTTTTGAGTTGTTCGAGTGCGTGCAGGTTGAAAGGCGAGAGGTGCGGTCGATGGCGAATGCTGACAGAAAGTGTTGTCCGAAAGACGAAGAGTGTTATAGCTTACGATGGTGAAGGTACCGTGTGCAACGTGGTAGAGAGGACTCAGAATGAGGGCGCCCCTACAAGGGGGGCAGAAATATCCTGGCCGACCCGCTCGTCCCGCACACACACCCCAACTCTGGAGGCGTTCCTCGACTCAACCTCTGCTCCCACGCCCAAGTGTTGATCTGCAGGCATCCCGGCAGTCAAAAGTGTTGATCTACGCGGCAACCCGAAAAGGTTTCAGGCACCAGAGCACTCAAGCGATCAAATTCGCCGATGAATCTGCATGTTCCGTGAACATCGCGCGGCCGGCGGACCGACTCCCCGCGCGCGCGCGCGCCCACCTTCTAGCATGACGTGTGTGCGCGTGCCCGCGTGCGGACGATTCTAACGACGATCGAGTGAGGAGCATCTGGTTGACTGGCTGGCTGGCAACGCTCTGGATTGTGCTTCCGAGCGCTATAGTGGAGCGTTGAGGCTCAACGCTCGAGTAGATGAACTCTAGAGGTGCGTGACGAGTCGTGCACCGGACGACCGGCTTGCAACGGCAAGTGCACGAGAAAATCCAAGAGGCTGAACGCATGCAAGCTCTCGAAATGTGACTGCTCAGCAGTTTGCCATGTTCTGTGAGACGGAAAAGTTGTGCAATTCTAGACGCCATACCACACTTGACACCTGTCCAGGCGCAGTGGAGATCAACACGCACGAAGGTGAAGGTGGCATATAAGCGCATTTGCGCAATGCGTGTGCTAAGGGATCGTGGCGCGCAACGAAAGGTCGCCCAGAGTGAGGCATTCGCTTTAGCACACCAGCAGTCGCAGACTTGATTGTGCTCGCTGATATAAACATCATGATTCGGTCGCGACTTGCACCTACTTTTGGGGGTTTCGTCTTGAACAGACAATTACATGCGTAAAAGAAGTTCAATGCAGATCCTTAAGAACGGGAGGTCTCAGAGCTAGCTACGTGACGTGTCGTTGCAAGGATCTCATCACGAATCGACTCTGGAGTGCTGAGCCACATGCGCAGCATGGCATCTTTGAGGTTCTGGTAGTCTTTGTCCGTCTTTCCTTGTATCTCTTGCTCGGCACTTGCGCTGTCCAGGTCTTCTTGCAGATCCTCAATCTGGCACCTTGCGATGCTAAGCTCTACGGCGAGAGCATCGAAGCGCTCCCTCTCTTGAATCTTCTCCTCATTGTAGCTGGTCTCGATGCGCTCTACCTTTGCCTTCGTCTGTGCAAGCTCCTCTTCGAGCCTTTCCACCCGCATCTCCGCCCTCAGACGCAATCGAACTTCCTCCAGCCATCTCTCCGTCGCTCTTTTGTGCTGCTTATCGCTAAGCCAAGCTGTGCCCGTGAGGGCGGGATGCTGAATTCAATGCCCGGAGAAGATGTCATAGTCAGCTTCGAGCGGATCGAGCCATACAATCGAAGGCGACCGCTTTGACGTACCTCGACATCGCGACCCGCACTTGCACCCCCAGCACTGCGTTCCGCCGCTCAATCGAGCTCGACATCGTGCTATTTCGGAATGCGAAGCCTCTAGACGGCGTCAAATGTCTGCAATAGCGCAACGTCTCGCACGGATGGCTTGGACTGACCAAGACTCTGCCCGAAGTTACCGCAACCTCCGTCGCTTCAGCATCCTCCGACTCGGAAGGCCACGAGTTTACTTCGTCTTGATCCGCCAGTTTCTCTTCCGAGCCGCTGAGCGGCAATGGGCTGCGAGCATAGGATCCTTGATAGACCGGTTCGGATAACGTTTGAGGGCTGTATCGATCTTCGTCGGATCCCAAGCGAGGGGTCGAAGATTCGAAAGAGCGCGAAAGAGCGCGTGCGGCTGAGCGATTGAGCGATGGCGAGCCGCTTCTCACAGCTTGACCCTGACGGGCCTTCTCTCGAGCGGTCTACGTGAGCAGAAGAAGACCAAACACGTCAGACTTTGTGCGTGCAAGCCAGGCTACCTGCCACGCGGGACACTCACCTCGTGTCTATGCTTCGCAGCTCTAGATTCGCTGGCAGGGGTGCGCTCCTGCGCGCGAGAAGACTTGTCCAGGTCCAGCTTTGCCTTCCGGCGAGGCTCGGACATGTTGATGATGGAAATTGACTAGGATACGACGGCGTCAGCTATATGCGCCGACAACTGATGAGGCCGAGCTTATTGAGGCTATTCGATGCCGGAGCTGGGAGCTGTGGCTCACTGGCGATCTGGGCTCACCTTGTTAAAGTTGATGCGAAGGGCGAAGTGGTGAGAATGTGTCGGCTTTAAAGACACTGCCGAGTGTGCGCTGAGCTCTTGGTGAACCTTGCTTCTCGCGAGCCTGCACCAAGGCCTGGAGTATCGTCGGAGCTTCACTGAAAGGCGAGTAGCGGAGAGCTCTGAATTGCGACCTGGACTGTTGCGTTGTGGTGAGGGCAGTGAAGTCGTCCGAGAAAGACAAGGTTTTTCGTCAGTGGGCCTACGATGCTTCGACATGCAAAGGCGGTAAGGATGCGCTGTGCCGAGAGGATGGATTCGTGCCATCGCTTGTCAGAATGCGCAGCAGTAGCGGCAGCAGCAGAGCGCGGGAGCAGGCCTCCCGATGTCTCTTCTGTTCCCGCGTCTGCACCAAACGAGTGAACCGCACTGAGTGCTCGCTGCCTGACTCGAGACTGCTCAGACGCCGGTGGACACGCGATCAGACCCTGATCGCCGCCCTTCGCGCGCTCATGTATACCTTCCTTTTTGGGTTCGGCCGATCTACACGCCTTCGGTGAAATAGAAGCGCCACTCGATTAATGCATGTCACTTTGGCCCACTTTGTTCTGCGCGTCGCACCCCAAAATCCGCGTGCATGGACTGTGCAGATCTGGTGCGCGGCGTCAGGATGCTCCGCACGGCACACTCTTTCCCGACTTTGACAGGCACATTGCCCGTGCACGTCTCGCGCACGTCCCCCACGCTTATCCATGAGCAAGTCATGGACGTGCACGTACTGCACGAACGAGGCGTGGGATGAGGAGCAGCTCGGGCGAGGTCGCGCACGAGCCTCCTCCTTTGGCTTTGCGCTGCATAAGCGGCTGGCACTTGCGACCTTGTATCACACCTCGGCTCAAGTATTCGTACTTCCCCTCGGCTGCTCGCCTGCCCACTCCTACGACGCGGTCTTACCCAGGTATTGTGAATCGTCGACACGTGCTTCCATTCCCTTCGCTCCGGTTCACCAGTCAAGTGTGGTGAGTATCCCTTCTTGACTCTCAACCAAAGGCACCTCAGATTGGCCTCGCTGATTTCAGCACCCGTGACTTTCCTTTGCGGCGCACAGAAAGCCGCCGCGCGAGCGGTTCGTCCAGCATTCCGAACCGCGCATAGTCATCGATCGTACCGCGAACCTCTTGCGTGTGAGTCATTGAAGCGCAGCTACAGGACCCGCTTGGAGTGCTTCAGAGCTCATTCTTATGCTCTGCTTGCTTCTTTCCCCTCGAGTCTCAGCCAAGAGTATGAGCACCGAAGAGACGTCGGCTGGCACGTCAGCCGCAGCTTCAGGAACGGATGCGCATGTGCGTGTGCGAGTGAGTGGCGGACACCATATATGCTCCTGCTTGTAAACAATTCCTGACAGCACAAGGACTTTCGCTGCAGCCTCAGTCGGACCTGCCGCCATCCTATGACGTGGCTCGTGGACCCGAAGGAGATACTGGATCGCCTCCGGCCACCATCGCCCTCCTACAAACAACTCGATCGTGTACTTACGCGTCTGGAAAACGTCGAAGCAGAGGTCAACAATCAGCGTGGCGAGCGCAATGACACGCTCGATGCTAGTCGCCGTGCGCTCGTTGCTAGTCGTCATGCGCTCGATGCCGTTGTCAGCACCGGAGGCCAGCGCATTGCAATGCTGGATCAGCGCAACATAATCATCGAAGTGCGCAACAGGAAGCTCGCTGCGCGCAACAGAATCCTCGATGGGCGTAATGCTGCAAATGGAGCAGCTCTTCGCTCGGTCAAAGCGGTAGGCGACTGTCTTCTCGAGCATTTCTGGAGCGCTACGCGACACACTGGGCATGTGGATCGCAGAGGCCAACAGACCGAGGCATCTTTGCGCATCGCTCAAAAGCAGCAATTGTGCGTCATGTCCAGTACATTTCGACACGACTGAGTATCATTGGCTGATCTCGAGTCCTCCACTCGCAGTCTCTTCCAGTGCATCGTTCTGCTAAATTGGTATCGATCTTCGTCCCCCGCATTGATCTACGATCATGCGATTGCGCTCCTTGTTGCGCTGACGTTCTTGATCAGTCTTTGGCAATGCCTCGCTTGGCTCGCCAACAAATTCACTCGTGCGCTGGCCAAGTTTGACTTGGTGCCCGACGCGAGTCGCCTCTGAAGTAGACTTAGCTCGCCGCACATAGGATGCTTCAAAGGGGTCACAACGAGCACTCAAAGTCTCGGCTCAGGTGATCTTTTTCTCAGAAGCCGTACGCCATCAAGAGAGGAGAATGACTTCATACAAGCTGCCATTTCCGAAACGAGTAGACGGTCCTCATCCCGCTAAACGCAATGCGTCGATCAAACCCTCTCAAGCCCTGTGTAATCCGATCGACCTCAACGAGGACAGTCTGTGTGAGACCTGATCTTTCGCAAAGGCTGCTTCGCCGCGAACTTCAAGTCTGAGACCCGCTCAATGAGGTGTGAAGTTGGCTCCCGGCATACTCTGATGAGCTCCGTCTCGTAGCGGAGTCTGACAAGCTATCACCATCTTTGATACTTCGAAGTGCCTGGACCCTGGAGCATATATGCGCATGCTGAATTGCCTGAGCGCCTGCTGCGCGGGTCCTGCCGAGCAATGCACGGGGGCCGCATTCTCGTGCGAGAGCGAGCCGTGCGGATGCACGTCGAGTGGAGCACCTCTGACTGCTTTTCCGCCAGACAGAGTCTGAGTGCGCACTGGTGTGAACACGTGATCAGCGAAGGGCGTGCTCGCAAGGGTCGGTCGACAGGCATCCTCCCAATAAGCTTGTGGGCTTTGTGCGCTTGGTGACCCGCAACACTCGACAAAGCTGCTTCTTCTAGCTCGCGATTCTGCGCAACTTTGCCACGCTATCGCGCGGGTCGCCGAGCGCGTCCGATGGCGCGCTTAGCTGGCGAATCGCGGATATGCCACCCATCACACATCCGCGCGCCAATCAATTTGAACGAGAATCAACAAACAAACAAAAAACAGCACAGCCACATCAAGTACGCTCACGCTAGCTCTGCCCCGCGCGCGCGCGCGCGCGCGCAGTGGCGCCAAGACCCATCATGCAGCGCGTGTGGCTTGAGAAAGCTAAGCTCGGCTAATCAAGGCATGCACTCAATCAATCTTCCACCGCTGCGTTCTCGCGCTGTTTGATAGAAAGACGCGTCTCGGAAGATTTGACGCGTCTGGTGCCTGACCGCGCGGGCGGATGTAAAGCTGCGCGGCGCGTCTTGAGGCGGCTTGGCGGTGAGATACGCGCTTGGCTGATACTCTCGAATGGGCGACGCTTGACTTCGGCATGTACGGGGCGTGTTGACTTCTTTGCAGTACACGACATCTTTCGCAAAAAGCGTTTGGGCTACGGCGACAGGTTTCAAAGTATGCGGTGATGAATTGATTGAGCGTCGTGAGGTCGGGCCGGGCAGGACGAGTCAAACATTCTGCGTGTCCGTCATCGGTGGAGAGAGCAAGTGGAGCGAGCGGGACACTGTATTGGGAGAAGCACCTGTGTGGGCGCGCTGGACTACGTAAGGGAGTGCGTGATCGGAAGGTCGTGTATACGCATCTCTAGGATTCGCTGTGGGCTCGTGTGTGCGCAGAGAGGGCGGGGCCGGGACGTATAAATGCTGCGAGCAGCGATTACGCCTGCTGCTTGAGCACCTCCTTCATCTCAGCGATGATCTTGTGCAAAGCAGCGATCGTCTGGTCCTTTTTTGCAAGACGCTTGTCCTTCCTATCGAGACGCTTGCCCGCATCGATGAGCTCTTGCAAAGGCACGTGCGTCTGCTTGATGCGCTCATCATGCTCCGCAATGGTCTTGCGCAGAGCAGCGAGCTCCTCGTTTTCCTCGTCGCGATGCGTCTCGAGAGGCACAGGCGTCTTGTTCGAGTCCTCTGCCTTTGTTTCGACAGCACAGTTGACAACTTGGCTCATGATGAACTCTGTCTGAGTTTCGTTGGCCCAAAAGACGCTGATGATGGACAGACTCTTGACGGGTACAGTCTGTGAAAGGGGAGCGCGAATCAGCTGTTGGATCATCGGTGACACTTGAGATCGCCACTTACCGCATCAGAAGACAGCGGCACCCAGCTCTCTTGCATCCCTTTGAAGGCCTTATTCTTCGAGTAAGAGGAACCGGATGTACTCTTGCGGATCATGACTGTGCGCAGAGGCGTGCGTTGCACATCAGCGTTCCGCGCTGCCGTCTTACGATGCTCTGCTCTCGCATCACGGCCGCGCACTTCCTCCTCGGGGTTGCTACATCCTTGCGACGTGTACTCACTGTTCGGTTTCAAAGCTCCTAAGATGTGATACGTGAGCGAAGTGGCGATGCCGGACGCAGAGGTGACCGAGCTGAAAGGTGAAACGCTGATGTGGTTGACCGTTGTTGACCGAGCCGAAGGATGAAGCTGGTGTTAGTGATCGAGCCGAAGGAAGAAGGACTGATGTTGGTGACCGAGCGGAAGAGCGAAGTTCTGCTGTTGGTGACCGAGCAGAAGGATGAAGCGCTGGTGTTGGTGATCGAGTCGAAGGAAGAAGGGCTGATGTTGGTTACCAAAGAGATGTTGTAGAGAAGAAGCAGAAAGGTTGCGTTTCGGGGGATGACTTTGAGCTTGTCTTCCCTTTCGAAGTTTTGATGATGTCCCTCGTGTGCGAGCCAGCCAAAAACGCCTCTTCGTGAGTGCCCTGCCCATCCCTTGCGTGCAGCTTGTCTGCCCATGACAGGATGGCGCCATTCCAGTCCAGCAAAGTCGTCCTGCTACCGCTGGCGTTCCAGTCCAGCGAGAATGCCTCGCCCCCCCTCGCATCCCAGGCGCGCAAAGATGTCCTGCTACCCCGCGCATCGCAATGGAGCGGAAATGACTCACCACCCCTCGCATTCTAGCCAATGTCTCCTGCTTCCCTGTGCTTTCCAATCGAACGACGATGTCTTGCTACCCCGCGCATGCTGTGGACTCGTGGCATGTGACAGAATCTTCCGAAACTACCCCCGCGCATACAACCCAAAGATCGAATTCGAGCGATTCCAGCGTGCCTTGCATGCGGTGCTTGACCGCACGAGCGAAGCTATTTTGGAGCACCTGCATCCTTTGCCCAGCCCGGCGTCTAGTTGGCTGCTGAGCTTAACTTAGCCCTGCGCCGAGTTGCATGTATGCTGAGGATGTGCCTTTGAAGGAGTTTTGCTAAGCGTGAATGGTGCCTGAACTGCAAACGCGAGCGATGCTGAGGTAGATAGCCCGCGTGAGCTCTCTCGATCGCGAGGGAGCTAGCGCGCATGTATGCGCTGGGTTGCGAGGCGGACAGCGCTAAAAGTGAGCTTGTGCGCTGTCTCGTGGGCGCCCGGACCGTTGAGCAGTAGGCGTGCGCGACGCGGAGAAGCATCTGGGAAGTTGGCCGTTGGAGGAACGCGCAAGGGCTTGCGCGTGGCATGAACGCTCCTCACGCAGGAAAGTCGAGTCGGAATGGCGGCAATTGGCGGCGGGAGAGGAGTTGATGGAGGCGCAAGCCAGCACAAGAGGCGCGCCAGAGCGAGGCGCACGAAAGAAAGCCGTTGAAGGATGCATGCATGCATTTGCGGCGTCAGGAGGCGTTTCGAGAGAGCGGTTGGTGGGGAGAGGCGAGCAGCAGAGAGGTCGTGTGAGATGCTGCGTGGGGTGGATCGTGAGACGCGCTTGTATGCTGAGCAGGTCGCCTCGTGACTGTGACCGCGATCGATCGAGCTGGGGAGTGAAGAGCCACGTGACCCTCGGGGACTTCGAGCCGATGCGCTCAAGCGCTGACTACCTGAAAGGGGAGCAGGATATCGGCACAGGTCTGTATGCGTGTGTAAGCTCAAAAGCGCTTGTCGAGATCGCTTTGCCGCGTGCGTTTTGCAGGCGTTAGTTGGTCAGTCGACCTGAGCTTATCGGCTTGTTCAGTGACCCACCCTGGGCTGATCGGCCACGTGGATGATTTTGTGCCATTGGACTCTCTCGGCCGATGGGACACCTGTACCCAAGGTTGGAAGTGTCATGAGGCTGTGCAGTCATGAGTGAAGCGCGCCCCCGCCCGCCAGCCTGTTGTCCGCCCGCACGCAAACGCGCGACCCACGCGCAGAGCCGCAACAACCCCATCACCGCGCGTCCAGAATTCACGATTCACGAGGCACGAGCATCGAGCAGCAAGCGCTCCTGACACAAGATATCTTGCCCGATAATTCACATGTACTCAGAGTGAAGCTGATTGGCGAGACACGATTGATCAAACTTAAGTCTTGGGTGAAGCTGAGATTTGACTTAATGCAGGGCCTGTAAATGTGGCTGTGCGGTCAAAGGCACCCTCTGGCCTGAAGCTTGACGGCCATCTGCGCGACCTACTTCGAACAAAAGTCACGTGTCTGTGCGCGCCGGGAGTTGCGTGTGAGTCACGACGCTTCTCACCATCTCCAGCACTCGCCAGACCACCTCTGGAGCAGATCATCTCGTCTCTTCATCTGCTTTGCCATTTCCTAGCTATCTGAGCGATTCACACTTACTTCGGCCTGTGCCTTCGAAAAGCCTGGAAGCTTGTCTCGTTGCCTGACACTGTTCCGCCGACTCAGAACGGAAAGGGATGCTAAAAGGCCCGCGCCGCCTCGATCGGCGCCCCAGGCACCCCTCTGCTGCTTCATTTCGCTCGAGCCTCTAGCTCGCCACTCGCTCGTCCTTCGCCCTTTTACTAGCCTTGTCCCGCTCGTTTCGATGCACAGGCCCAGCGTGTCAGCGCACGGACCGCTGCCGCACCGGCTTAGTCACTCGGGCGCTTGATCTCGGAGCGGATTGGCAGAGCGCACGAGCCTCTTCTGGCCGCATACACACGACGGATTGCGATCGCGTGGCGCCCTCTGGCTTCTTGGGTTACAACGCTCACCTCCGCTGCTTCTACTGCTTCTGCTTTCGATTCTCGGACTGGCGTCATCCAATCCTATCACACAGCTGACTACTAGCCGGCCAATGCAAGCCCGATAGTCGACGACGCATAAAGGAGTGGATGGGTCGCCGAAGGCAGCTTCGCTCATGGTCGTTCGTCCTGGTAAGTTTGATCATGAAGTCCGGCTTGCTTTACGCGATGCTGACGCTGCGGGAGCCCTTCATCCGAAGCCACAGTCAGTGGACAAACGCTCTGCTCTTGGTGACGCCGCATCCACGGCACACTCGAGCTGATCCCTCGGGACCAGGCGCGGGGAAGCTAGCGCAGCTCGTACTGCAGCTACACCTCAATCTGGCACTCTGAGAGCATCCACGCACCTCGTACTCGCACGTTTCTCTTCGATTTGCATCGATAATTCACAGCGTCGATCAGATCAGCAGCATACATGCTGCTTCTGTAGACCAGACAGCCAATTAAGCAATCGGGCAGCGATTGCGGCAATGGATGCAGGCCGGGAAAGGAAGGTCGGGAGCCGAAGCAGGCGCAAGGTCGGACAAAGAAGGGAGCATCGCGTCAAGCAGAGGCGGACTTGGAGCGGGACTAGCGGGGTTTGGTGGCTGCAGGAGAGCGCAGCAGAGTCAGACAGCACGCGAGCGCGAGGGATCTCGAGCAATGGTAAGTTGGACCGCACGTCGATGCATCGGGAATAATCGGCCTTGTGGGTAGTGCGGGAGTCGGATGAGATAGCAGAGCAAAGGGGCCAGCCGACGAGTGGATGACTGGAGAGCAGGCGCGGTAGGGGTAGGGACAGCTTAGTCTAGCAGCGAGGGTCATGTGATGCATTCGCAGCCTATGGGTGCGGCAGACCAGGCAGCCGCTAGCCAAGCGTCAGGTTACCTGCCCGTAGCAGCCAGGTCGGGAAGAGCTGAGACCTGCAGCGCGCTGCATTTCTTCACAGGACCTCTCAAAATTGCCGCTGTAGAGCGATTCGCTAGGCTTGCATACATTCCATGCACAGTAAGCGATCGTCTTCTTCCGCCGCAAGCAAGTCGTGCATTGCTTACCTTGGATGCTTCGAGAGTAGCAAGCATACAGAGGGGGACGCGCGACTAGAGAGCAGAAACAGGGCAATCAGACCGATCGATCAGCACTAACACGGATCAAGACACCGCTGTATGCATGTGAAGCTGGCGAGTCATGCATCAGACGTCAGCGCAGCTCTCTCGTCTTCATGCTGTTCGGGTGTTTGCCAGAAGACAGAGCTGGTGGCATACCATGTGCATGGATGGAGAATCAGAACCCCGATAGGGGCAGAGAAGGGCGAGGTGAGTAGGTGGCAGCTCAACAAAGTGTCTCGCTGTGGTGAGCATAGCTCTTGCTGATCTCTCGACTGCTGCGATGCGACAGCGGTGACAGGCAAGCCATCCACTGAGAAGCCAAGGCTCGGCCAGCGTTTCAGTAGGCTGCTGAGCTAGTCACACGATCTAGCGGGCACACGATGCAGCTGGGTTACGGCGAAGCGGAGTGGAAGATAGCGAGCGGCATGCAATTGATAGAAGATAAGACTCTGGAATTACGTGAAGGCCTTGGAGCGCTCGATCGTATACAGGGTCTCGAGCAACGCCGGGATAAGGTAGTGCGAGAAGGTGTGGATCGGGACGCGATGGCGGAGCAGAGGTACGTCATGGTGATGGGTAGAGCAGCGGCTTAGCACGACGCTATAGGTTGTGAAAGCTCGCGTGTTGACAGGGACAATGAGAGTAGCAGCAAGCATGGTGGCGTCTTGCCGAAGGAGAGACCATAGAGGCGGGCAGACGAGCGTGCTCTGACCGGGGCGAGTCGCGTGAAGTCCGTGAACGTTGCATGAAAAGGGTGGACCGAAGAAAGGTACAATGGACCAATGACGATGCTGCAGAGGCGCAGCCGAAGCCAGCGGAACGATTCGACGAGTGAAGGTAGGCTGCGCCTCAGTCTCTGTACAAATCGGCGCTCGCGCGATCACGACGGAAGGACTGTAGGGTGATCAAGAGTCGAAGATGCAATTCGTCATCGTAAGCAGCGGTGCGATGTTTCACGCCGAGATCGCGAGGTAAGATGATGATATTACTGAGTCAAGATCTAGGTGAGACATGTACATCGCTATGTAGATGCATGCCAGATGCGCGTCGCGCGCGCGCACACGTGACACGATGTGGCCAGTCCAAATGCGCATTTGCACTCACTTCCGAGTAGCGAGCGTCGCGATCGTGGACCGAATCACCTCTGCGCTGGTAAGGTGGAGGTGGCTTGGAGCGCTCACCGCGCAGTCGCTGACTCTCGACCGCGTGCAGAGCCGCCATCTCGGCGAGAGCGTCGGCGTGTTGATGGTCGCGACGAGCAAGTGCTTGGGCGACTGCTTGACGGACAGCCTCGTCTCTTGCCCTCTCGGCTTCGCTGAGGACAGCCGTCAGCAGCTGCGCGTTGTGTGAGTTGTGCATCTCCCTCAGGCGCTCCGCTCTTCGACTCGCCTCGAGAGAGGCTGTGGCCTTCTCCTTCTTCAGCGACTCGATCTCTTGTGCTTGCCGACGAATTGTGTCGTCCTTGCTTTCCGGCGCAACGACCTTGTCAGCGGGTTGACGTGGCCAGATCCTGCACATGCGGAATTGGTTGGCCAGAAAGTCCGGGTGGTCGGAAGACAAGCCGAGCCAGGAGCGGTCATTCGAGTTAGTCTGACCGGCAGAGGGTCCAGCCGATCCTGGACGGCGGACGGGACGGGGAGGAGAGCAGCGAGGTTGGGCCAGGAGACGCTCTGGATTGTCTGAGGAGAGAGTGACGCGCGAGGTATAAGTCGGTAAGTAATGCGAGACTATCTTGCGATTGAGTTGCCTAGGTGTGCCGACCTCCGACTTGCGAAAGCACTCACTAGTAAAGCTGGCAGAGGTGGCGCGAGCTCCCTGTTCCTGTGCGCAACGACGAGCTTGGGCAAGGGGAAAGTCCGAGTGATCGGTGGACATGCCAAAGAACGAACGATCTTGAACGCCAGTGTCGTAATTCCTACTGTCGCTAGGGCTGGTGATGCTCCACTCATTGGAAAGGTCGCTATTTAAGCTTTCGTCGTCGTCGTCGTCCTCTCTGGCCGTCACAAAGCTTTCGTTGGAAGTAAGTGAGTGAGTAACTTTACGCAGTGGTGATGGTGCGAGTACGGACGCTTGGCGAGCAAGATCAGCAGAGCCTACGTGGGCCTGACGAGTACTTGGAGGCGTGGTCGGAGGCGTGGTCGAAGGCATGTCGGGCTTGCGATGGGTGAGAAGAGGGGGGCACGATAGCGTGTATGTCGAAAGAAGAAAGTAGTGACGTAGGCGAGTGCGGGGAGTTTGATGGCTAAGGAGGGATGGGATCCCCACAGAAGAGCTGAGGTAAGATGCGGCGAGGGACAGGGAAGGCGAGTGAAGAGATGAGAGTAGGGAGCGAAAAATTGCAAGTCCAGGGGAGGCTACTTGTAGCTTCATACGAGACAGCTGTCTCTCGCATGTATGCCTAGCTAACTTGTATTTTCGGGCGATCTGAGGAATGTGTGGCGGTAGCGCGTTGTTGGCAGGTGAGCAATGCAGGTGCATGAAGCCGTTGGAGCTGGGCCGCGCTGCGCATGCAGAATTCCGAGCGCTTCGGCTCGCCTCGAAGGCGGACTCGAGTGACGATCGGTCTTACCCTTGTGGCGGGCAGAGTCGCTGCTGGGATCCCGTGAGAGTCTGCTGAGTTGACGAAGCTACCTCTGCGGGTGGAATGTTGCTCAGCGCGACTGGTGGGCTGGCCGACCAGCGCTCTTGCGCGATACAGCAGTGCTGCTCTGCGACCGTGTGTGCGCTCCAGTGACCAAATCCATCTTCTCGACAGTCGGAAGCTGAACAGATGAGAGCATACAGCCGGTAGTAAGCTCGGGGTAGCATGTATGCGCTCAGCTGTGCGAGCAGGAGGGTGAGGAGATGCGATCTCCAGGCATCTGCCAAGCTGTCACGGGCAGTCCATGTCTGCGCGAAGCCGTTGGGGCCGTTGAGCGCCGCCGGCATCAGTCACGAGCGTCAGCGCTTACGGGCGCGCACCTCACACAGGCGGCACGGCAGACGAGGCGCGCACCTCGCACGCTCGGCCGGCGACTAAATTGCCCATCGTGCGGCGAATTTCTTTTCGTGCGAGAAATGATGGGCGGATGAATCGAACTGGATCAGGTGCGTGCGTACTGCGGAAGCAGCCCAGCAGTCACTGACTTGTGGCGCGCCAGACTCTTGATTCGTGATTGAAGCGAGCACTTGATCGAGATGACCTCTCTTCGACTGATCCGACCTCACACCATCTCTAAGCTCCTCCTCGCATGTCAGCAGTCTGGTCACAACATCCTCCAACAGGCAAGCAAATGCTAAGCGTACCGACATTGAGGCATCCAGATGGATGGCGCGGAGCCTCGATCCACTCGTGACTGGGATGGAGAGCTGAGGCGCGGTACGCAGCTTCGAAGCCGCTCGGATCTTTGACGAGGCGTGAGTGGACAGGTGCGTATCTCTGATGTGTGGACAGGGCTACAACACCGCCTTTCAACACTGCACAGTCTAGCCTAGAACAGGTTCAGGCAGAGCGCATACAGGCAGCACCTTGTCGCGTGAGTGGTTCGCAGGATCTCTTGGAGCGCCTTTCCGAGCTCGGACTGAATTTGCACACTGTATGCGCAGTCTTTCTCCGAGCTATCAGGCAATCCACCAACAGCGTATGCGCAGCCATTACCGGAACTATCAGTCCATTCGTCAAGAGTGACTGTCTCATGAGAAAGCGAAAGCTGAAGCAGACCTCATCAAGGTGACTCGGGCCTCGCTTCACCATCTCACTACCATCATGGACGGCAATCCACACGCGAACATCCCGGATTGGGACCTAGTGGACGAGAACTTCGCTCCAGAGGTGAGGCGTCATCAAGATTTGAGTCGAATTTCCGGGCGCGACGCCAATGCTGAAGCCAGATCACTCCACGCTTCTCGTGCAGGACTTTGATAGATTGTTCTCCGAGACCCAGGAGTACTTTGGTCTGACGGAAGCGCAAGCGCTCAATTTTGTGCGCTATCACGTAAATAGAGCGCGAGAAGAGCTTCGACAGATTCGAGCACGTCAAGAAGCGGAGCTATTGGCCCTCGACCAGGAGATGGCAGAACTTCTACGCGAAAACCTCCGCTTCAAACTCTTGCGGGCCAGACTGCAGCTCGGGCTATGGTGAGCGGAGGTGCGAAGAGCATTCTCGGACATCCAAGACTGGTTGCGCAGGTTCAGTGCTTTGCGCATTTTCATCGTGGTCTGGCTGGTAATTCTCCTCTGCTACGAGGTGTTCGCCATGCTCCTACCTGCAGTATGGCTTCTCTCTTCCAAAAAAGAGGCGGAATGGTGCGGTAATCAGCCATTCAATGAAGTAGACAGGAGCGCTCGAGGCACACACGGCATCTTCGAGTCGCACAAGTCTTTCATCGACCGAGATCTCTGCTTTCTTCAGTAGGACAATCATGCCCTCGAAGCGCACCAACAACGATGACCTCATGGGCTCAGCTTCAAGACCCAAATTTGTAGAACTTTCCCGTGCATCTGTTCTTTTACAACATGGCTCACTTTTGTCCGTAAATTGATTGAGGACATCTCTCTTGAGGAAGAATAAGTCTGTGCGCTCTCAAGACTGCTTTGAAAGAATGTCCGATGTTAATTGACCCGGACGAGTTGTGACTGCTGCGCCCGCTCCCATAACGGCAGACGAGGATGCGATCGAGTGAAATGCTGGTCCGCTTCGAGCTGAAGAGCTGGCACCGAAGTCTGATCATGTGTCACTGCACAGCACGCGCAACGCAGCAAGTACCCAGATCCGTTTCTCCGACGTTCGGATGCTCGTGCTCCTTCACAATCAAGCCTGCGCAGCGTTGCGAGTTGTATTACAAATTGTGACGAGGACAACTGGTAGGCAGGGGCATCACGTCTCGATATTGCGGCGCTCATTGCATTGTATGGATAGTCTAGAGAATGGCATGAGTAGTGCGCTTGCTCGAAAGGGTTGAGATGATGCAAAGGTCTTTATAATTGTTTGTGGACTTCAAGATGGACTTGATTGTCAAGGCGAAGACATGCCGGCCATCCAGAAAAATTTGGCCGCCGGAACTTCTGTCTTTAGGCTTCAGTGATGCTCTTGTCCATCGACCCCTCAGTTGCAGTAATGGCTCTACTCGACCAGGACCCCATGGCGCGAGAGGATGGGCAAGCGCGATCCGATGCGAAGCTCTGCCAAACTTTTGAGCCCGTGATGCTGTCCTCTCGTCTTGAGAAGTGCAAGAGATAGCGTCACGTGTTCTTTAAGAGAGATGCGCGTCTTCTCATGCGAACCAGTCTCGCTACATGCGCTCGTGTGCGCCGAAGAGGTGCCAGAGGGGTCCGAAGATCCACCACGAGAGAGATTCTCGCCTGAAGATGCAGCCGAAGTTGTCTCGTCTGCACTTTCAGAGCGCACAACGATGTCTGCTATTTCGTCCAGCTGGAACTTTTGGAGGAGCAAGTCCGATCAGTGACTACGCACCAAGAGCACGTGGACGGCAGACAGACTCACAGAGAGATTTTCATCGCGCGACTCTTCTTCGGAATTCCCATTGCTTTCCATGCTCCTCAGCGAGGCTTGCGCTGCCTCTCGACTCTCAGAGAAAGAGTTTGCAAGCTCGTCACCGCTGTTTTGTGCGAAAGCCGTCGTATATCGGGTTCGCCTTTTTGTGGAAGACTCTTGCCCGTTGACTTCCAATTGCTTGTCCTTGCTGGCAATGATGCGCTCGCATCGCTCCACCACTTGCCTGTGCCTGCTATCGCATACCTTGCGCTCCCTCTCCAGCCTTACGACGACTTTCTTGAGCCTCTCCACCTCCCTCTGTGCAAGGCGGCACTGCCCTTGAAAGTGCTTTCGCTCTTCTTTCTCGGATTTGAGGCCGCGGCAAGCCTCGTTAGCGATGCCTTGCTCAACGAAGCGCGCCTCTTCCTGCTCGTTGAGTTTCGCTCTGAGGTCATTGGCGATGCGCTCGAGCTCAGCTTGCTCAGCTTTAGCTTCTCGGGCCTTCTGCTCTGCGACGCTCAAAGCCGTTGCGTGGGCCTGCTTCGCCTCTTCCGCTTCGCGCTTTTGTCTAGAGAGCTCCATCGACTTTGCAGCGAGACGAACAGCGAGTCGCTGACCGCTCGCAGTGCTGCTATCCTGCGCTTGCCGAAGCGAAGCTCGAACAGCCTCGCTCTCGCGCTTCCAGATCTCTTGCCACTTGGCGCTTCGCTCGCGCATATCTTCCAGCGCACAATTGCAAAGTGAAGGCCACTGGTGCACCTGGTATACTGCGCGCTTGGGAGTCATGTGCACCTTTCCGACTGCGAATCGACGTGGTTTGCGAGAAGGGTGTGCCCAACGGTATGTGGGTGTGGATGGGGCGGCCGGAGCGTGCGTAGCGCTGGATGGAATGCTCATCGTGGGTGTATGCGCAAGATTAGCAGATGAGGAGGGGTACGTAGTGCACGCGTCGGACATCTTCAATGCAATCTATCGTAGAGATTTGAAATTGCGAGGGTAGGACTGTATGTGATGATAATGCGAGGTAAAGTAAGGAGCGAGCGGGGTTGGGGCAAGATGATGATGAAGGCGAACGAAGCCGAAGCCGCATCGCGAATCAAGCAGAAGAGTCTCTCGGTCTGCTCGCCCTCCGCAGCAGCTCGCAAAGCAGCGCATGCTGTCCAGTGCTGGAACTAGAATGTCCGCTCGTGATTCGCGCTCATACAGCATCTCATTCGTTGTGAACAGAAGCGAGTGAAGGTGGTCCGAGGAACAAAGCCGCTGCCAACGAGGTTCTTGCGCGGTACGCGTGCAGGGACGGCGAAGCCGTTGAGTGCGAATTGGCGAATTGCATGCGCGCATCGATGCGAGGCCGATGCCCAGATGCGGCGTTCAAGGCCTACGAGGCGTCCAAGCGCATTTGTTGGATCTCACTGCTTGAACAGCAAAAGTGCTCACCTACAAGGGCCGGCGAGCAAGTTTGAGTGGAGCAGCGGCGGACACCATTTGCGCGTGCTGTGGTGATGCCCCGATGCGCAGCCGATCGAGCAGTCAAGTGTCGACTCGATCGTAACTCGTGACGCTTCAGGGACAGATCTGCTCCTGATGAATCGCGGCCATGCGTACGAGTCTGAGTCTACAAACACGTGATTGGCGCTTCCTGAATTCTGCACAGCCCTCGGTCAGCTACAGCTTTGCGCTTTGCGGGTCAAGTGTCCGTGCGTGTGCGATAGCCAAGGGACGGCCAGCCTGGCGAGCAGATGGACAGATCAGGCACGAGCCGAGAGCGTGGGTGCGCTGCGTCAACACACCAGGCGTGCGCGCGGTGTCGCAAGTGCAAGATGCACCGCGGCACGCGCGCGAGGGTCAAGCCCTGCAGCTTCGCGCGCATTCGACTCAGCAAGTCGCCAGTCAGTGGGAGTTGCGCGTGAGGGTGAGTGTTGCGTCCGGTCTTCTCTTCCTCCACCACACCCATTCGAGACGCGCATCACTTCGACAAGCAATTCGCCTCTGCCTTTCTCACATCACCAACACCCCACCTCTCGTCTCTGCTTGCGAGCAGCTCGTACGCGGCGACTCAGCATGCTCCACTCTTGGTTGATCTGTGAGTACGCTCAGACTCATACTGGCAGCTCCCGCATCCTGTATGCTCCTTGCGCGCATCACGCAGGCTGATCTCGATCTCGATGACCTTGCTTAGGAGCATCACTTCTTGTCTGGCTACGCTCACGAGCAGCTTCAGCCGCCTACGCAAAGATGCCTGGTAGGCTCGGGCGACCATCCACAGCGTGGCACGATGTCGGTGGAGGTTCGTTGAGCGACTCTCCTATACCCGGTGCAGCTCCAACGCGCAGGCGTCGTCCCGTCTCGATGGACTTGCTAGCAAGCCCACCGCCTGACTATTGGGGTCTCGGCACTCACGTGAGTAGATGAAGGGACCATTACCCAGTAGACTTGCCGCGACATGATGCGCCACTTCCACGCAGCTAGCTTCGCCGCGCTGACAGCCTGCTCCATCGTCTTTTGCCTCCAGGCTACCGCAACTTCTGCTTCCGCTCCCGTCGCCCAACGTGGTTACCAGCAACCGCGCGTGCTGACGCGAGCCCAAATCAGCCATGTCGGACTCGGCGAAGATCGCATCGCAAGCATCGTGCGCGATGCAGTGGCGTCCGAGTTCGCGAAGAACGAAAATCTGCGCAATGCTTCGAGGCGACCGAGCGCTGCTCGCCAACAGATTGTCGAGATCGTGGGACGTCTACAAAGAGTCGAGGCAACCTTGCTCGCCGGCCTCTGGGTCGTCACACTCTCGCAATGGTTTCCAATGCCCGGCCTTCTCAAGCCTTTCATAAGCGACATCGCTAAATTTGTCGTGTGCTTCGTCGTCTTGCCGCTGCTACTGCTCCAGACCGACGCGTGCAGGTCGGCAGTGGCGCAGCTCCAACATGCGTGGCAGGCCTTGAAAGCCGACATCGCCCGTGTGAGTCTACGCTTCCTGCTCCTACCCGTTCACTGCCGATATGCAAGCACCTGACCTTGACACATCTCGCTTTCAGGGTAGAGCAGTCTGGGCTGAAGTCGCGCGCCGAGAACGTCGCCGATAGAAGATACCAATCATCGGGCCCCCAAAAGTATGACGTCGCACTCGACCCTTTCCTGGGATTGGCTTCTCTTCGTGTCCTCGCTCAGGCAAGCGCCGTCACCAATTCCCTTTCCCGATCCGTTTATACAACGCGTGAGCCGCTAGACGGAGTCTTCTCGACCCGCAAGCAACATCAAAGACCCGTCTCAAGAGCTTGTAAGCTACGTTCAACCAACGCATATCGTGCAACACGTGATCTGCGTGTTAGAGAGATCCGTGCGTGGTGTGGAGCGTCAGGGATGCAGAGCGAGGAAACAGTATAGTAAGGCCGTTGATGAGAAGGTCAAGCACGCGCATCGACTGCCATGACCACAGTGACCTTTTGCTCTTCTTGCCCTGCTCGTTCTCTCAAAAATGGCTCACAGGTCGGCAGCTTGAGCCGTTGTGCCCTCGTATCGCGAGTACGTCATCGAGGGAACGCCGGCTGCCGCGCTTTCGAGTAGCTGCTACGTCATCCAAACTACTGCTACACCAGACGACCGATGGACCAACCTTTTGATCCTCTTCGTGGTGCTCGAGCATGACCCGTGTGCATCTACATCGCGGTAGAAAAGGGCAAAATGATGGCAGGCTCACTGCAATAGTCAAGCCAATGATTGAAGCGACCGGAGAGCAATATGAAATTGTGAATGGCTGGACGAGGATCGACGCAGTCACGAGTGCAAGAACAAAAGTGACACGGCACAGCTGGCACGTGATGAAGATTAAGTGTGCAAGGAGAGGAGATGGGGACATTTTGGGGACATTTTCGGACTCGAGAAAGATTGATGGAGGAGGGGGCATTGGAAGACCGCAGGCGTGCGTGCCATCACGGAGTCGGGGCTGGCTCATTGACAACTTCGCTGACGGAGGATGGAGGGCCTTCGGCTTAGATCGTGTATGCTCCAACGATCGAAAGGAAGGGGCATATCGGCTTCGTGTTCCTGGTCGTGGGCACGACGAGGTTTTGCTTGGTGCTCTTGCAGCGTCGAGAATAAATGCGAGACTGACGTGCTCCGCGCTCAGGAGTTTGCTGGTACTGTGCGATGCCGATGGAGATTCGACACAAGATCGTAAAGTGCCAGCGTTAGCGAGCACGCATAGAACAGCAGTGTGTCTACCGATGCTACTAACCTCTTCGAAGGCGAAGCTCGACTACCTTGGCTCAAGCGATGCGGTGCTCTCAGACTCGCGCGCCCGTCGATCTAACAGGACGCTCGCCTGCCTCGCAGCTCCTACGTGATTCCGATACCTTCGAAGTCTTACGCAGAGCGATGGGATCCTGTTGAAGCTCAGGGAATTCCTTTTGCGTGCTCTTGCAGGGCTCGGATTTGCGCGCTTTCAGAACGCGTGCCCTGTTGACGGCAGTGCCTACGAGAGCCGCGCGCACCTCCGGCTGAATTTTAGCACTCTTGCGCGCTTCGCAAAGTGCATCCTCCGTCCTGGACAGCTTGGTCTTGCAATCTTGCAAGTCCTTGCTATCCTTTACAGACTTTGCCTCAGCCTCCCGCAGCTGTCCCTGTCCGCGTTTGTGCTGCTCCTTGAGCTGGCTGCACTCCCGCTGGACGTCGGCCAGCTGCTTTTTCGCCTCGTCTCGTTGGCGGCGAGTCTTTTCATGAGCATCCTTCTCACTTTTGAGGCGCTTGTCGTCCGCGATCTGCATGTCGCGATGGTCGACCCTGAGCTGCTTCAACTCCCCATCGCTCTTGGCAGCTTCAGCGCATTTAGCTCGGCGAGCTTCCTCCGCGCCCCGGCTCTTGTGCTTCTCTTCGTCAAGCTGTCGCTGCAGCTCGTCGGCATTCTCTTCTGCCACGGCCAAGAGGCTTTTGATCCTCTCGAAGTCCTTCTCGGACTTTTGCAGCTGCAACTGCGTAGCAATTTGTGCATCCTCTGTCTCATGTCGGGCCTGTCTTTCGTTCGCTAGGGTCTTGGACAGCTCTTCGACCTTCTGGAGCAGTCGAACGTACTCCCGATCGAAGGGTGCAGCAATAGCGAGTCCATCGGCTTTGTGGTCGCGTGTGCCGGACAATTTGCGCTGTTGCACCTCCGGCTGCGTCATAGCCGTGACTGGGGGACTGATCGGGGCTTGCATTCTGGCCTTGACCTGTAACTCATCATGGAATGGACTTGGTGCAAGCTGAAGGAGCGCTGGAACGTCGCATGAGCGTCTACGCCTGTGTCTCATCGTGGCCAGCGGACTGTCAGGTGTGATGTCGCTGATATCGTACTGGCTCTGTGGAGAGAACAGCGAAGGCAAAGAGAGGTCGGATGCGTCTGTCATCTTTGGCTGGAGTGCTGGCTCTGTGAGCTTAGCGAGAGTCAACTGAAGGTGAGCGATGTTGAAGTTGGTTGAAGGGACTGTAGGGTGCGAGGTGAAGGTGGGAAGGCGACGAAGGGTAGATGAGTGCGTGGGAGAAGGAAAGGCGAGAAGTGAGGGATGGCGGTCGAGACGGAGAGGCGAGTGGAAGGAGGAGCGCCTTGAAATAGACTTGGGTCTAAGCTTCTTCTCTCTGCTCGCCCGCATACAGTCGACCTCGAGCGCGAAACATATTGGAGTTGGTGTAGATAGTCGCTCGTGTCTCACACCCAACGATCATCTACGACTGGTGAAGCGGAGAGGTTGATGTTGATCCAAGCTCGTGGCGTTGGCAGTGGCCGTGGCGTTGCGGCGCGGTGCGGTGCATTGCGTCGCATGGCGTGGTGAGGCGCGTCATGTTGGTGTGGCGTGGGAGCAGGCGTGGGTGTATGCGAGGACCCTTGACCGTTAGAGCAGCCGTGCATGCACCCAGGCACGCATCGAACTCCGAAAGAGGGAGATGTGCGCTGAACAAACATTGCCGAGGCGAGATGCGATGGGCCACGCACGAGCTCCTTAGCGTCGGTCCAACCGGCAGCGCAGCTTCGGGCGGAGTTGCCTGGCCTGTCGCGCCTGCCAGTATCGGTCGAGGTGCAGAGCCGCTGCGCACGGCCACGCATGGAGCGACAAGAAAGTGAGAGAGGGCAGGACGTCGTTGACATCTCGAGCCGGGCTCCCCGCCAAAGTGGTTAATCAAGAGTGTATGTGGTGGTAGTGGTGAGGTGAGTGCCTGACCCTCCGAGCGTTCTCACGCATCGCGTGTGCCTAATCATCGAGTCAAACGGCGCCTGGGCCGTCAGCGCAGTTGCGTGTGATGCGCCCGTGCGCGCGCGCGCGCGCCTTATGCCGCACCCGCCCAACCTGTCAGACGCCCCAGGACCCTTCACGTGATCGTCAAAGCAGGCAGCGCATTCGCTTGACTCAAAACTCACGTGACCAAGCCGGACGCCGTCCAAGAGTCGAGTCGATGCAGCTCGAATGTGAATGCCAATCGCAACGGATCGCTTGCCGTCTATGCAAGTCAGAGGGCCCGATACACCAGCTTCTGCTCAGCAGAGAAAGACTCTCGACTCGTCGCTCTCGCTCGCGCTCTGTCATGATCTGCTCCGTGTCAGCAAGGGAGATGAGAACGGGTGATGCCTGGGGCGCATACAACTCATCCCAACAACCGAATCTTTCCTCTTCCCGACCGGACCGTCATCCTCATCGACTTTCTCGCCAGCACAGGTCTACCATCGTCTCCGCCTTCGGCTCAGCCCACCCATCGTCTTCCCTCGTTACCTTACCCGTAGCATTCAAGCGCAACAAATATTCCGATTCTCGAGACCACGCGTGTGCGTTGGCCTTCCGGCTTCGACACGATGTCAGGCGCCAAAGAAGCCTTTTTTGCCTATTGTCTGGGGGCGTTTGCCGCATACATGCTTGTCATCAGCGTGCGAATGACGATGGAGATACTCGACTCCGGTATCGCCTTCGTGATCGTGGAGCGTGCGCGTGGCATCTCGATCTCCATCCAACGACGGGCTCTCGAGCAAATATCCACTCAACGACGGTGTAAAGAAGCGACGCTGTCCTGTACCCAAATTCATGCCTTATGCTCCGCGCGCGCCACACTCTGACTCATGCACATCCACCACTGCGCGCCGAGCACCACTCTGTCTCTCAGACATTCCACTCTGCCTCTCAGACATTCTACAATGTCTCTCACACATTCAAGAATGTCTCTCACACATAGTTCATGCAGTCAGAAT